CTACAGGGTGCGGGGGATCGAACCCAGGCTAGTCGCCTGCAATGCAAGCGCCCTCTCACTGTGTCCTCTCTCTGGCCCCAAGGTTTTAAACATCGTTTATATACAAGCAGATTTGCTAGATTATGTTTCATTGTGTTGATTCTTTTTCTTTTTTTTTTCTGGACATAGTATGCTATTTTAAATTCTACATTCAAAACTTTCCTTTTACCATGGAAACATTTTCTTTCCTTATTTTCTTTCTGCTAACAGCAACACCATGAATCATTCTGACCTCAAATTCCCACTGCCCAGGGCACCCCACAACCACTCACTGCCCCACCTGGGTTTCTCCCCTGGAGCCTCCCTGCAGAATTAGAGGCAGCACGAAGAACCAGGGTGCAGGAGCAAGGGCATCCGGCCCAGGGAGCACCTGTCTTCTCCCGGGAGGGACACACACTTCTTTCATAAGACATTTCCCAGGAACCTGAGACCTGTCTGCATGACCCAGGGCTCTTGGTGGGCCTTTTGCTGGGACGTGGCAGGAGCGTCTGGGCAGCCTTTGACTTTTATCCTCTACAGTGCTCAGGGTGGGTGGGGGGCGTCACACACAGCCCAAAGCAGCATTGGGACTGGCCCCTCGTGCCCGTCTGACAGGCTAGAGCAGGACTTGGGGGATGAAAGTGTTTCATATCTTTCACAGGGTTTGTTCTCTCTTGGACAAGGCGAGGAGTCCTGATGTCTACAAAAGCTCCTCTTGAAGTGCTTGCAAAACCGAGGTCCTGGGTTGCCATGGGAATTTCTGGCAACAGTCCACCAGTATTGCTGATGGTTGGGAGGAAGTCCTGATGTCTACAAAAGCTCCTCTTGAAGTGCTCGCAAAGCCGAGGTCCTGGGTTGCCATGGGAATTTCTGGCAACAGTCCACCAGCATTGCTGATGGTTGGGGGGGCAAGGCCTGCCCTGACCACACTGACTCATAGGCCGTCTGGGGCTCTCACTTCCTGCAGGCCGCCCAGCTGGCTGCTCACTTCCTGTGGGCTGGGTGTGGCTTCACCGGCCCCCTCCCTGTCCCCATTCTGGCAGGCAAACCAAGCCCCTGGGGGCATACAGGAGGCTCTGGGGACAGTGGCAAGAGGCTCCTGGCAGAGGCCAGGGCCAAGATGGAGGCCCAGGGGGACCTGAGAGCACAGTGGCCAGATAAGCCCTTTCAGTGCTTCCTGGAGGAGCTGATTCTTCGATTGGCTTAAACACACACACACACACACACACACACACACTTTATTAATGAGATTTTTCTTTTTGAAAGGGTGAATTTGGGACCATACCCAGCGACACTCAGGGGTTCTTCATAGTTCTCCGGGCACCCTGTGTGGTGCCAAGGATCGAACAGAATCAGCCACATGCAAGGCAAGCACCATCACCATGCTCGGGGCTGACTCCTGGCTCTGCGCTCAGGAACCACTCCTAGCAGGGCCCAGGGGACCCTATAGGACGCCGGAGATCGAACCCGGGTCTGCCACACCAGGCAAGTGCCATTCCCACTGTGCTATGGCTCTAGTCCAGTGACCATTCCGGAGTGTCCCTGGTGTGCAGCTGGAGTGAAGGTGGCCTGGCACTGTGCCCCCTCCAGGGTTGGCCACTGGCGGGGACTCTCGGCTTCTGGAAGAGGTTGCAGCCCCCTGTGGCGCTGAATGGAAGCAAGCAACAAGCAGGCAGAGAGGCAGTGGATGGGGGCATGCCTGGGGACTGCTTCCGGTCTGCATCTGCAAGTGGGCGGTGATGGTTTTGTGGCTAGTAACTTAGTTTAGGGCCTTAACTCTTACTGGTGCTCCTGAGCGTCTGTTCTAGTGGTTTCATTTTGCTCGCAGGACCATTCGTTTCCTTACTCAAGGCCTGAAACCCACCACCTGCCCCTAGAACAGCCCCAGCATCTCCCCCCAAGGCAGGAGAGGCCAGGAGGAAGCCCCAGAAGAAGTTCAGCCCAGAGGCCCCAATTGGCCAGTTGCCTGTCAAAGGCGGGTTTCAGAGGCCTTGAAGGGCAAACAAAAAGAATGGTTACTTCATGGGTACAATCTGACAGATAAAAATATAAGGAGCAAGTGACCAATCACAGAGGGCTGGACTCCCAGCTTCCTCTCCCTCCAAATGCGGGGGTGGCACCTGGACATCCCTGGCCCAAGTCAGCAGGGCCCAGAGGCCCAGCGCTTGGCTGTGAGGTGTGAATGGGATCTGGGTGAGGCCACAGCACTGTCCTCAGAGCAGGGGCTACCCCCCGGGGGCCTGCTCGCTTCATTCCTGGAGAGAGAGAAGTCGGGCAGACCTTCCTGATGCCCCAAAACACTGCCTCATCCTGGAACCCTGATGGGCGGGCAGCCCGTAGGCAGGGAGGGAGGGGCGACCACAGGGCACCCATGTCTGAGTTCTTATGGCAGACTTTGGTTATTCTTTTGGGGCCGCAAGGGGGGAGTGTTGAGCCAGAGCTTACTCATGGCTTCTGTGCTCAGAGTAAGCACAGAGGAAGAGTAAATATACTCCTGGCGGAACTGGGGGTCTTGAACAAGGGTTGACCACCTACTCGTGAGTGCCTTACGGCCGGTCTCTCCTCAGCCCCAACTGGTTAGTCTTATGGTGTTGGGTGCATAGTATTTTTCAGGGCTGCTTACTCAGCGAGTTGGGGGAAGAATTTACCTTGAATCTGGAATCCTCTCTCTTGGCTTGATCTTGCTAAAGATGGTTAAGTTTGGTTTTGTTGGTTTGGGGGCCACACCTGGCACTACTCAAGGGCTGACCTCTAGCTCTGTGCTCAGGAATCACTCATGATGGGCCTCGGGGGACCCTTTGGGCTGCCGGGGATCGAACCTGGGTCAGCTACATGCCAGGCAAATGCCATCCCCGCTGTGATCTCTCTGGTCCCAAGACCATTCTGTTGTAATATGCAATAGTGGGGACTCGGCAGGGCCCGAGCCGCTCTGGCCAGGCAGGTCACTTTAGGCCTGGAGATGGTCCCCAGGGCTAGAGCACGCATGAGTCCCAAGTTTGATCCCTGGCACTGCCTAGCACTGCCCAGATGGTCTTGCTGGGCCTGAGCACTGAGCCATCCAGATCCACTGGCCAAGTATCTCTGGAGTGGCCCCGGACTCTTCGAGCATTGCCAGGATGGAACCCCCCCACCCCTCACCCCCCATACAAGTAGCTTATTTGATTCATTTAGTTATTTGGGGGGTTGAAAATGCTGTTGTCATTTTTGGGGGGAAAAGTATTTTTTTTCTCAGCACTCCCAGAGTCTTCACTCCCCAAATGGCCCCATCACCAAGCGGGAAGCTCAGTGGGCTGCAGGAAACAGTCCCTGAGCTTCTTCCCTGAGAGCGGGACTCAGCACCAAGGGCTAATTTGCAGCCAGGTGCCCCTGGGCCAGTGACAGGAGTTGCATCCCTAAGACAGGAACATCATGAGCCAGAGTCTGACGGCTGCTGGGTGACAAAGGCATGGGTTTGGGGGGGGGGGGGGTCTGTGAGAACCAGGACTGGGGGTCCAAGGCTGCCCCTGGACAGTCAGCTCACCCTCTGGGGCCTTCTCCATAAATCAGGGCTAAGGAAGGTATCAGGGTCAGTTGCAAATGTGGGTGAAGAGTGGCCCAGGGGCTGGTCCCATCAACTCAGAAGATGTTCAGGAATATAAATAAGATAAGAATGAGGGGGCGGAGCCCCAGGACAGTGGTTGAGGGCTCCTGCCTCCCTGCACACGGAGCCCCACCAGGAGTGATCCCTGAGCCAGGAGTAAGCCCTGAGCACCACTGTGTGTGGCCCTAAAACTGCCTTCCCCCCACCCCCCAAAGATAAGAGTGCAGTGTGGGTGCCATTCTAGTTGCTTCAGTCACCGCCCTCCCCCACAGCACTGGGAAACCCCCCAACCCAGCCTTAAACTCTAAGAGGGCCCACACCAGGGAGAGAGGAACCCTCCTAGCAAAGCCGGTTCTGAGAGAGGAGTGCTGATATGCATCAAGACCTGTGGGTTCCCAGGGACTGGGTTCAGCTCAGAGAAGACCTTGACTGGGGCTCCCCAAAGGGGCTGGAAGGGAGGAAGGCGAGTCCCTCGGAAGGGGCTTGGGGTGCCAGGCTTGCCCTCCGCTGCCCTCCTTTAGATCCTCCGGCACTGAGGAAGAGTGGCCGAGGTCCTGCTGGAGGGATGGCCGAGAGTGGGTCGCTTCCACCCTGCCCCAGGCGGGCAGAAGTTTCTGGGCGCTTGCTGCTACTCGTCTAGCCCTTGCCGGCTTCACGCTCCGGCTGTGGCTGAACCGGCTCCTCCTCGCGGCAGCGGCGGCCCAGACGCTCGGTCAGGATGGCAGAGCCGCCGGCCCGGGACCGCCTGGCAGGGGCTGGCAGGGGCTGGCCGGGGTGGATGAGGCTCCCTGCCGGGGTCGCGGGCGCGGGGCATCCGCCTGGACCAGAACTCCCCTGCCCTTGGTTTCGGTTCTCATGTGTCCCCGCCTGCCCCCGGGAGGGTCCCCTGGACTCGGGCCCCGGCGCGCACGCATCCCCGGAGATGCTCCTGCCGGGCCGGTGGGTCCCTCCCGCGGCTCCCTGCTCCCGGGACCTGCCCTGGGACCCCCTGGATCCCCCGGGACCTGCGCCGGGACCTGCGCCGGGACCTGCCCCGGGACCCCCGGCACCCGCCCAGGGACTTGCCCCGGGACCCCCGGGACCCGCCCAAGGACCTGCCCAGGGACTCCCGGGGCCCGCCCGCGCCCTGCCCTGGGACCCCCGGGACCCGCCCGGGCCCTGCCCCGGCGCCCCCGGAGCCGCCCAGGCCCTGCCCCGGGCCCCCGGGCCCCGGCCCGCAGCTCCGCCCTCCGCACCACCCGGCCTCGGTTCCCCGCGCGGCGGCGGCGCCCAGGCCCGGGAGGCGGGAGCGCGGCGGCGGCGCCGGTGATTGGCACAGGCCGAGGGGGGAGGAGGAGGAGGAGGAGGAGGAGGGGGAGGAGGGGGAGGGGGAGGAGCGGCGGCGGGAGGAGGGGAGGAGGGGAGGGGAGGAGGGAGCGGCTGCGGGCAGGCCGGGGGCCAGCATGCCGGGGAAGCCGCCGGGCGCGGGCGCCGAGCCGGGGTCCGGGGCCGGGGCCGGGGCGCGGCGGCCCCCGCGGCCCGGCGCGTCCTGCTTCGCCAGCATCAAGGTCTTCCTGGTGTCCGAGTGCGCGCTGATGCTGGCGCAGGGCACGGTGGGCGCCTACCTGGTGAGTGGCCGCGTCGCCCGCCCCAGCCTCCGCGCGGGGTGGGCGGCCGGGCGGGCTGGCGGGAGGGCGGACGGGGGGAAGTCCCGCGCCTGGACGGCCGAGTCCGTGCCCGGCCGGGGTCCGAGCCCCCCGCGCCCCCACGGGGGACCCCCCAGGGGCCTGTCACGGAGCTGCCGTAATGACTCAGCACCTCCAGACGGAATATTTGGGGGGTTTTCTCGTGCCTTACCAGGCACCAGTGCAGGGGTCCCCGTCGGAGCCGGAGCCCGCCCCCGCCCCGTCCCCCAAACGCCCAGAGCGGCCTCTGCAGACGGGGCGCTGGCCGGGACAGTGCGCTGGGCAAGCCACAGGCTCGGGTGGGGGTCAGTGAGCAAGCTTGATGCAGCCCTGCCGGCCGGGTTCCGGCCTCCGGGTGAGCCCCTATCTGCCTCCTTCCCAGCCTGGGGTTCTGCGGACGGGTGGCGAGGGGCAGGGGTGCCGGCTCCGACCATCCGTCATCGCCCCTGCCAGAGTCCCTGGCACCGGGGCACGAGGTGGTGCACTCAGTGATCTGATGGTGAGAGGCAGGGCGGGTCAAACTCAGCCCGGGTCTGGGGTGACAGCCTTATCGGGCGCCTGAGAATGGAATGTTTCGCTGGCTCCTTTGGAGGGAGGACGGGGCTTGAGTCCCAGGCCTTCACCCCTGACTGGGCTCTGCCCAGCCCTGGCAGCAGCACCACGTTTTTCTCTCCTGCTGATACTGTTGCCCTATCACAGTGACAGAATTAAGATGTAGGATCCAGGAGGATGGGGTGTGTGTGTGGTGATGGGGGGACAGGAGGCACTTAGGACCCCTTGGACGTTATCACCTCAGACAGGCGCCTTGCTGCAGGTCTGTGGAAAAGGGCCCTGGCCAGCCCCGTTGCCCAGCACCAGCCAGTCTGACCCCGTAGAGCACATTGTTTGCACGGGCATAGCCCCTGCAGTGACCCCCCCTCCCCAGGGCCAGCGGAGCAGGCAGTTCTCCCATGGTCAGGGAAGAGGTACAGGGCTGGACAGGGGTGGTGCCAGGTGCCCAGAAGTGGAATTGATTCAGAACTGGAAACGTAGAGGGGGGAGCAGCCTCGGATTGGGTCATCCTGGTGTGTCCAGCCTGGGTAGAAGGAAAACCCTGAGGGGTGGGGTGGCAGGAGTTGGCGAGTGTGAGGACAGGTGGGCAGATGGAATTCCCCCACAGTGAGGCAACCCGGGCCCAGGGCCCTGCCTGGCCACCTCAGCTCGCCTGTGCCCACGAGCCCTCACCAGTGTTCATAGGCACGGCTGCACTCCGGGACCTTGGGGGTGAGGGGGTGCAGTGGCCTTGTGCAACTGCCCTATGAGAATGAGAAGGGCACCCGTGTAGGATTGTGGGGAGACTGGCTGTTCCTCCTGGGACTCTCAGTGCCCTCGGGACACAGCCGCTGCCAAGTGTTCCCAGAGAAGGCGAAGGGGGTCTGATGCCTTTGTGTCCAGTGCCCTGTAAGATGCCCACAGCAGGGAGAGCACGGTTCGCCCCTGACTCTGGGCTGCACCGGGCCCTGGTGCCAGGACTACGTTTTTCTCTCTTAAAAATACTGGTGTTCTTTCAGGTGCATTTGTGGGGACAGTGGACGAAGGAAGAGTAGGGTCTGGGAGGATGGTGTGGGGCGGGGCGGCACAGGGTGCTTAGGACACTGCAGACAGGTGCCTTCCTCAGATGCAGATGTGCCACGTGGGGAGTTGCCAGCATTTGGAGGCGCGACTTTGCAAAGCAGTGTTTGGGCGGGGGAGGCTGTGTGTGTGCATGTGTGTACACGTGTGTGTGTGTGTGTGTGGAGTGCGTGCTCACGTGGTGTGTGTTCCTACCTACAGCGACTCTCAGGGGACGTCCCCAGTTGTTCCCCTCATGGGGGGGACCAGCCAGTTTTGGCCTGGGGTGTTCTCTCCAGGGAATTGGGGGCTGGGGGGGGGGCGCTGATCCCGGCGCACAAAGTGGGCCAGTGTGCTGTGAGCCACTGAGGGCTCTGGAACCAGCCACCCCAGCAAATGTTGGCACTAACAGCTCAGCCCGCCTGGCTGCCTCAGGAATCCGGCGTTCTGGGTCAAGGGGATGGACCCTCTCATTTGATCAGCATCGGGTGCCCAGTCCAGGATGCGGTCTCCTTTGCCCCTTCTCAGTTCTGTGCTTTGGGGCGGTGGCTCTGACTGGCTGACCTACTTCAAGGATGTAGCATCTGCTCACGCCCCAGACTGTTTGGAGAAGGCACGGGCCAGAGGATGTGCGCGGAAAGGCCTCGCGCTTGCGCCTTCTGAGTCCTCTGGGCACCCCCTTCCCCAGGAAGTGGCGAGCTGAGCAGATAAGGATGTGGACAGCCAACGAAAGCTCTGTCCCCAGCTCTGCCGCGGCGCGAGGCAGCCAAGCGTGTGTTTGACTTTCCCCGGCAAGCCAACTTCAAAAGCGTTCAGGGCAGGTCGCACAGGCCGACCCCTGATCCCCGACCCCCAAACCCGGGTGGGTGTTTTCCTCTTTAGGGTTCATGCAAAAGCCAAGTGAGTGGGCCGCGGGAGGCAGGCTCAGGGGTCAGGTGAGGTCACGGCCCACGTTTTCCCTCTTCCAGGCCTGCGAGGAACGAGAGGGAACGGCCCAGGCCAGCTGCAGGTTTGTGCCTTTCAAAGCCGTGTTACTGTCATTTAAAAGCTGGATTTTTGCAGTTAACCCAGAAGTATGACAGCTAAGAGAGATTTTTTTTTTAAAGTCCCTGTCAAATTGGTCTGATGACTCAGGCAACTGTATTTTACTTAATCAAATCATTTTACACACTTCTGGTTACTCAAGGTGACAGACTCACGGCTGTAGGACCCAGGGAGTGGGCAGGAACTCAGAATGGTGGGAGCCCTTCCGAGGGTTCTGCTCATCTGGGATGGAGAGAGTGCAGGGGCGGGATGTCCCCGCCACCAGCTATGTCGGCACCCCTGGGCAGCCCACTGACCTCAGGACTGGAGTGCCAGCCCCACACTCAGATGCCTGTGGGTCCCGGGGACAGGCACTGGGACTCTGGGTGTCATCAGATGAGAGTGGCCTGGAGTGTGGGCAGCGTCACAGAGCACTGACTTAGAGTAGGGGACTGGATGCAGCACTGACAGAGGTGTCTGTCACTGGGGAATGGGAAGTTTAACCCTCTGGGCCGGTTGACTGAGAACTACCAGGATGTGACTCCCCTGGACCCTCTGAGAGTGGGAGTCCCCCACCCTAAAAATGGCAAAGGAAGGAGAGAAGAGGGAAGGAGGGAGAGGGGAGAAAGCTTGGCTAGTGATAATTTTTGAGCAAAAATAAATTTGTTTTGTGTTTTAAGTCACACCCAGTGATGCTCAGGTCTGACTCCTGGCTTTGTGCTCAGGGATCAATCCTTCCAGGGCTCAGAGGACTATAGGGGATGCTGAGGATTGAACCCCAGGTTCGCCGTGTACAAGGCAAGAGCCTTCCCTGCTGGACTATTGCTCTGTCCCCAGAGAAAAAAATCTTGAAAAAAAAAGTGGTTTTTGGGACACACCTGTGAACACTCGACTTACTCCTGGCTCTATGCTCAGGGATCACTCCTGGAGATGCTCGGGGACCATGTGGGGTGCCGGGGATGGAACCCAGGTTGACCGTGCGTAAGGCCAGTGCCCTCCCCATTGTGCTCCACCCCCCACACCCCACAGCTTTGATAGTGAGCCCACTCAGCCATGGACTTAGCACCCAGTCTTTTCCTCTGGGCCCTGGGCCCCAGATGCCTCTGGTTCTCAGCACTCCAGCCCTGAAATTGAACTGTGCTTCTTTGTAGCTGAGTTACAGTAGAGGCAGGGAGGGTCGCCGAACAGGTGGACCAACTTCGCCATCACTGTGGATTCCTTCTGGGAACCTGAGGGCGCTTGTGTTGTCTGAGAGGTGGAGTTGCTCTAATCTGCCGTTGAATTCAGGGGCCGGAGAGAAAGCGCAGTGGGTAGGGCTCTTTCCTAGAGTACTGTTTGATCTTGACCTGGGTTTGATCCTCAGCACCAACGGGAGTAATCCTGGAGCACAGAGCCAGGAGGAAGCCCCGAGAACCAGATGTGGCTCCAGAAGAAACCAGACAAGATGTTGGGGGCAGGGGGCAGCCCCCAGGAGTGTGTATGTGTCTCATGTGTGAGGCCCTGCATTTGATTCCTGGCCCCACATCCACGGTTAAAGCTCCAACTCCTTGGTTGTGTTCGGTTTTGTTTCTTACGTCACACCCAAGCAGGCCTCAGAACTTTCCTGGCTCTATGCTCAGGGCTTCTACCTGGTGGGGATCGGGACCCTATAGGGTACTGGGGATCAAACCTGTTTTTACCACAGGTAAGGCAAGTGCCCTCCTGACCCCAAACTCCATCCCCTTGGAGTTGGACAGACAGTGTCTCCAGGAAGGCACTTGCTTTGCATGCAGCTGACCCCTGAGACCCTCCAGGAGTGATACCCTAGCATAGAGCGAGGAGTCATTCCTGAGCACCACAAGGCACGACTCACAACCAAAAGAAAAAAACAAACATTTTTAAAAATTATATCAAATTAAAAACTCCAAACATTTTTGGAGCTGCCCCCAGTGCCCCATTCAGCCCCACGTCCGTGCTGTGGCTTTACCTCAGTTCACCTCTGTTTTTCATCTTGTTTAATTAACTTGTTTAATTGACTTCGTTGTGGGAGGACACCCCCAGTGGCGCTCAGGGCTTCCTCCTGGCTCTGCACTCGGGGGTCACTCCCGGTGGGGCCCGGGCAACCACATGCAGTGCTGGGGATTGATTGAACCCAGGCCGGCCATGTGCCAGGCGAGCATCCTCCCTGCCACGCTGTCACTCAGGCCCCAAGTGACTTTATTTTCAAAATTACGGTTCAAGTGACACGGTTATGCTAGTGTTAATTTTTAACTCAGTTCCCAGTTGACTCTACGGTTTTAATTAGACAGTGTGGTTAGAGTAACATATTGATTATGGATTGCTGCACACAA